ATTTTCAGACTTGCGCCGGAGCCACACAAAGGACCACCTTTTGATCATCTCAAAAAGAATATCCTTGTCCCTATTTGCTATTTTAAAAACTATTTAATAGTCAATGCTTTATAATTTAATATTGTTTGAACTGTAAAATATTTTTTTTATCATTGGATGGAAGGGCCTACACCCATTACTAGGGGGCCTTTTATGATTTAATGGTTGATATTTTGTATCGTGGACTATTTCAGATTGCAAAACATATTTTTGAATAGCAAAACCCTTAAATGCACCTCTAAAATGGTTGGGTAGGGATAAGATTCATCTCTCAAAAAAGGTAGGAATAAATTATCATTTCAAATTAGAAATCGAGACAAATCACTTATTTTTTAATAGATTATGTCTGCCACATAAGTATTTTTTAACAAAAAATTGACAAAATCAGTTAAAAAATAAGTGATTTGTTTTTATTTATAATTTGGATGGACAATTTGTTCCAACATTTTTTTGAGGGATAGATTTGTCCCTATCCACCTTTTTTAGAGGTGGATTTGAAGGTTTTGCCTTTTTGAATTGGAAAGTCAAGGAGTATGCATCCTTAATTCCAAATAATCAAAGTGAAAGTCCTCAATCTCACAATAGTTACAAATTAGTATCCTTAGTTGCACTTTTCAGTTTTCACACCCAACCTCTGTAGGACGGGTAACTTAATTTAATACTATTTTTGGTAAGTTTCTTAATCATTTTACTTGTCACATTTTTTGTTCGGTATGATTATTGAAAAAATTACTAAAATTTATAAAAATACACTTATAACTAATTAAAATTTCCTATTTACTTTTATTGATGAGGGCAGTTGAGAAGTTTGGTTGTGCTATTTTTAAGAATGGAGGAATTATTAATGGAGGTAAAATTGAAAAGAAAAACTAATGTTATGTTGAAAATTCAAATTGATAAGTAAATTGGACTACATCCTTTTTAAAAAGCCATGACAACTAAAATGGATTAATACTATTTATCTTAATCATGCTTTTGCTCTCAATTAGTGCAAATTAACTATAACAAGTTTAGAGTGACTCATTTTTTTCCCCTTGAGTTAATATCCCCTCAGCTGCATTCCTCAACCATTTCCTCTATTCCTCTAAAAGATTAAAAAATAGTAATAATAAAGTACAAAAGTATTGCCTTTTTTTTTGTTAAATGTTAATTTTGGTCCCTCAATTTTAGTGAGTTGCACATTTTTGGTTCCTCAACAATTTTTTGCACTTTTTTGATCCCTCAACTTTAAGAAATGCACACCGTAAGTCCTTCTATCAATTTGGGTCGTTAACTTTGCTCATATGGCATTTTTTATATTTTTTTTTGATGACATGACGAAAACAACTTAAAAAAGTGTTGATCTAAACATTTTTTTCTAACATATCAATGTCAACTCATAAACCAAATTTGATTAGCATTTATATTTTTAATAAAAAAAAATAAAAAACTAAAAATTTACCTTAATACCCTTGTCTCCCTTTCTTGATCCATCTTCTGCCCCTCTTTCGATCCATCTTCTTCCTTTCTTTTTTCTTTTTCTTTCTTCCTCTTCTTTCTTCCTTTTTTTCCTTTGTGTTGTTGGGTTCCCTCAAACCCAACTAATTTAGGTTCCCTTGAACCCATCTGCTAGGTTCCATCGAACCCAGATCTGTTGGGTTCTACAGAACCTAGCTCAGGTTCAAAGGAACCCATCTGCTGGGTTACATCGAACCTAGATCTGCTGGGTTTGGAAGAGAAAAGCTGAGTAGTATTTGGTCGACTCTGGCATTCCATACACAATTATCAGCTAGATTGATTCCAATGTTTGCTTTCTTTTATGCATCTTGCATCCCTTTTAGAACTGTTTAAAGAGCATGTCTGATTAGGTTCTTTAGATAGGTTTCTACCATGGTTTTTGAAAAGGATAAAAAATGGAGACTAACTTAGGCAAAAGTAAAGGCAGACTACATTCTCTGATTTCTGTATTCTTTTCCCCCAAAATCATATTTGTTTTCGGAAATATGTGTTAAAATATTGATAAATTCACTGTAGATTTATCTTCATTGCAACCTTATTAACTGGTTTTTCAAAACTTCTGCATTGTCATTTCTCAAGCATTTGGAGCCTGCTACTATGTATTCTGTAAGACTATAACTTTTGCTTGTTTGCATTAGCTGTAACTCATAACTTGATTTCACATTTGCATGTATTTGTGTTTCCTTTTCAAATCCTTATTTTAGTATATGTGGATGAATATTGCATTACAGATCCATGTTTTCTCAGTTTCAATATTTATTCTTGATATTAAAGTCGCGACGAACCCAAAACATATTTGGGTTTGTGATGAACCTAGTCATGGCCAAGAAGGGGGATGAGTGGGAGGGGAGAAGAGAAACAGTGACAAAGAGAGGAAAAATGGCTAGAAACAGTGACAAAGAATTAAAAATAACAAGTAAATCTGAGTTGGCATGTACACCTACGCTAATCGTATGATTTGTCATTGACATGTCATTAAAAAGGTGCCATTCTGGAATATTTAATTGCCAATTGTGAGTTAACTAACGGAAGATCAAAATTGTGCAATTCTTAGAGTTGAGGGATCAAATAGGTGTAAAAAATAATTGAGGGACCAAATTTAGCATTTAACTTCTTTTTTTTTTTTGGTTTATTTTGTTTTAGAAAAGAAGTGTTCATTACGTTGTATTAATAAACGAGGTAAAGCGATTACATTCTCTACCTCAAAGAGGCACTTTAATTGTCTATAGTTGTCATATGTTATGATAAATAAATCTGTTGGGACAAAAAGTAGCTTGAAAGAAACAATTAGAAAAGGATAACTAAAAAAAAAAAAAAATTGAAATCCAAGCCATCTTTCAGCCTCTTTGGGTGTTAGTTACATTAGCATAGCACATCCCAAACCACTGTAGCTTAATATGATAGGGAGTAAAACCCAGCCCACCATTTTTTTGAATTGTGGTAACAATCTCTACTCCAAGAAACACTTTGAATAAGCACCATGAATTAAACCCCTCAGTTTTGTCACTATATGATTCTTGAGCATCAATAAAATTGTCTCTTCTATTTTCATTCTTCCATATTTTGCATAGGACCATAAGTAAGCTAAAAACCACTGAAACCTTCAATCCCTCTTGAATAGTCAATGATCATAGGAGCACCTACCAACTTGGATTGAATCTTCATCCCAACCTAATTCAATCCTACCCCTATATGGTACTTCACTCAAAATCCCAATCAAACCCATCCAAAAAACCCACCACCACCCAAGCATCACAAACCATAAACACTCCCTGATACACATCATCATCATCACCCCCATACTTAATTGGCCCTCCATCACCACCTTCGTCATCCCTTCCAATCACCTCGCACGCACACCACAATCAAAGCCCCCCTATTATTGATATTTAGATGAGTTTCATAAGATTTTATATAATTTTTATTTTTTTGTACATAAAAGGACTGAATCATTCGAAGAAATAAGAACTTTTAAGACCAAACTAAAGGGATAAAAAATATGAGGATTAAAGTGTTCAAAAACCAGAAGTTAGGGATCAATACTGTCATTTTGCTATTAAACAAAATTAAGTGAATGATATAAATTATTCAGTAGTTATTTTCTTTCCTTGAAAGTAAAAGATATTGAGTTCAAGCCGCATGGCATGCGAATGGAGTAGAATAATGGATGGGAGATAGTTATCTTCCATCATGTAACCAAAATAAAATTAAAAAAATAAAAAATAAAAAAACAAAAAACTAAACAAAACAAAACAAAATTACATTTTGGACTAAAAGTTCGACAACGACTTCATTTCACGGCAATGGTAAAGGTGCCGGTACTTCAGCTTTAGGTATCAACCCCTTCGCAATTTTCAGCAAGTTTTCATCACCTCATTATTTTGGTGTAAGTTCCACTTCTTTTTTGACCAAGTTTTCTACGCTGTTATAAATACTCATTTAAAAGGTGCCAGTAAGGCTTTTAGGAGAGTTCTTTTTAGACCCTTTTTTGGGAATCCTTGGAGATCAGGTTACAGGTGGCAATAATTCATCAATAATAACATATTAAGGAAGCCAATATATTTAAATTATGTTTTGCTTTTCATAAGTTCTATTTTTTGTTTTGACATGAAATTTTCATTCATAACTATGAATTTAGATTTTATTATTTTTATTATAAATTAATATAACTAATTAAAGTTATAATGTCGTCTTATTAATTTGATATAGATTTTTATGGTTTTCATGTTTTTGAAATTGCTATTTTATGATGAGTATATATTATTGTTTAATGCTTTTTAATATTTGATCATTATTAAAATTGACATGAAAAGCATAATTGAAACTGAGAGAAGCTTTCATACAATAATTTCTAATAACATATACCATAAATTGAACTAAAACTAAAGATAGACCAAATAAGCATGTTTATAGGTATATTATTAATAATAACTTTTTTGTTTTTAGTATTTATGGTTAGAGTATCCCTAAATTAGTTTTTGCGAACTTTAAGATTAATCCCTTTCTAATTAATTTTAAAAGTGCACCTCTTATATCAATTTTCTACATTAAGGAAATGAATTTCCTTAGGTGTTAATCTCAAGACATGAATTCTAAATTTGATATATAAGACAAAATCTACTTACCAATAGATTCAATCTTTGGGGTTATTAATAACAACTTCTAAATAAGCATGTTTATTAGTATATTATATGTTGTAATAGTCTTCTTAAAATAAGAGAAAAATAAAAATAAATCTATTAAATAATATCTTAAAATAAAAAAATAAATTTAATTGCCTTAAATTAAAAGGCAAGAGAAACAAAGTTAAAGTGATGGAGTATATTTTCTTATCAACAGGATAATATATTTCACTGGCCGTTTTGTTGCCTCGCTGAAATTCGGGGTAATGATATATTTTA